TAAAGTTTTACAAAGAGAAAGTTCTTTTGAGAAATGAAATGAAAAGCCTACTGCCAAGAAGTACGGGAGAGGAAAAAGATTAGGTTAGGTTTATCTATAAATGAAAAAGAGGTTAAGTTATCGCACTGTTTAGGTTTAAGTTAGGTTTCTCTTAGGTTTCTCTATTTTTTCTGCCTTTAGCGAGAAAAAGAATTAAGATAAAAAGGTTATAAAGTTTTATAAAGAGAAAGTTCTTTTGAGAAATGAAATGAAAAGCCAACTGCCAAGAAGTACGGGAGAGGAAAAAGATTAGGTTAGGTTTATCTATAAGTGAAAAAGAGGTTAGGTTATCGCACTGTTTAGGTTTAGGTTAGGTTTCTCTTAGATTTCTCTATTTTCTCTGCCTTTAGCGAGAAAAAGAGTTAATATAAAAAGGTTATAGAGTTTTACAAAGAAAAATTTTTTTTGAGGAATGAAATGAAAAGCCTACTGCCAAGAAGTACGGGAGTACTTATTTAGGTTAGGTTTATAAGTGAAAAAGAGGTTAGGTTATCGCACTGTTTAGGTTGATGTTAACCATAAGTATATAGTTTATTAATCGCTGATCTAGAAGGATAGAATTTCTTCGTTCGATAAATAAAAAATTGTTCCGACGAAATATCCGTTTTCACCAGCTTCTATTTAAAATAAAAGAATTCTTTTCGTTCGACATACGAGGCGGCGAGGGTGGTAGACTGGAGTAAAGGAAATGTTTGGTACGCGAACAGCGTAGTGCAGTCAGACGAGTAAATTGCAGCTGGCACCTGAGGCAGACGTAAAAGCGACGGTATCTGGGCATTGTTATGGGAAAAGTGTGTCTTCGTGCCGTATACGCGACGCAGTTCCGCGTTTCCGTGACCCCGATGGAAACCGGCCGGCCTGCACGTGCCGCTCGATCGTTAGGAAAACAGACAATTTCGGCTCGAACAGACAAATCATCGACGTCTCTGCTAGATAGAGTTTCACACGATCATAACCATAACTTGAATAATTTTTAATATTTAGACATTTTATATTTTTCATATATACAGATAGTTTTCGTTTGCAAATGTCCTGGTTTCCTTTGGTTTGGTCACTGGAACTACCAAAATGGTCAAAATGGCCATTTTAAATAAATCTGCATTCCACAGATATACATGCAGCTGTTAGAAAAGAATCGTGATTTTAGGACCTAACCTAGAACCTATTTTTCTCCTCAAATTTCTCCGAATTACATCGATTGTACGGAGCAACGACTGGTAGAGGGATTTGAAGAACAAAGAGGGGAGAAACACGGGATGGAGGGGTAAATGGTGCGAAACAATGGTGATTTTACAAACCGGCGTATTGGGAGACGAGCATTCCAGCGGCCGATTCGAGCGTGTTGGTCCGTAGATCGTCGAGGGAGGCCAGTCCAAGCCAGTAACGATCCAAATGCCGGCCGATCATGCTCGCGGACATGTTGTTCTCGCTGTACGACTCCACCACCATCAATTCGCTGCCGTACCTGCAACGTCAATTCGTCCATCTGTTGATCCGTTCTAGCGTGTAATAACGCGATTACACGAGACGAGCTCCCTCCGTTTCAGTTCCTTTTCTTTCGTAACGTCGAGCCTCGACACTCGGCGAATGGACGTACAATCGTTTACACGGGAGATTTCGATTCTACGACCACGTTCTCGAGTCGAATTTTTCGAGAACTCGTTTCTGTCGCGTCATCGAACGGGACTCGACACACCTTGCCTGTCTGTCGCTCGTTACAACTGTGACGTAAAATCACAGCTAAAATATTACTTACAATTTGCAGTTGTTAACGTTCCCAACAGGGTTTACAGTGCGAAGAAAGATCGAATCGAAGTTTCATCAGAATCGAGCGCGACGTTACGAGAACGAAGAGGTTGAAGAAGAAGGTTTTTCGAAATCAATTCCTCGAGTAAAGTTTCAACACTTTGCTTACACCTTTCGCAAGATCACGTTTACAATTACATCTGAAGTCAGAAAATTTTGTAAAAATTTTTTGTTACGACACTGCTGGCGAGAAAGTAATCAACAATTCTGCGATATTTTCTGTAAAAGGAAAACTACATCTTTGCCTGTTTTAATAAAATCCATTAAAGTTACTATTGCACGATTATATTGTATATTGTTTGTGCAATAAATATCAGTAAAAGCAACATTCAGCTACTATTCTTTCTCGCAATCTTGAAGTTTTTCAATTTCTAATGTGCGCTAAATCACAGTGACCTGAAATACCGACATCACTGATTTTTTAGCGCACTCTATGCATAACAGCGGCGAGTTGAGGAACTAAAATACGCCAATATGATCTTCGAGGCCCATTGCAGTGTTGTCAAACTTTCAATATCGAAAATGTGAAGCTAGTGAGCAATACATAGTAGACTGAAATTTTAAAATTATCAATGGTTTATGTTTCATCAAGCATTCTCAACTAACTAAATTTTCAACCATTTTAAATCGTTATTGAAATATCAGAATCTGTGACGGGAAGATAATTGTCGGTGACGAGTTAACGTGAATGTTAAAAAAAAATACAGATGAAGGCACTCACCTCCTGCATAGTTCCGCCGCCTTCTCCCAAGAGTGCCTGATGTTGAAGAATTTGTAGCAATGTATGCCTCTCAGTTCCCATCCTGTGCAAAAGAAAAAGAAAAAAATAATGTCAGATTATAATACATTTCTCTTGCACGCGACAGTATGTTGGACACAAATACGAAACAGTAAAATTAGAGCTGAAAACTGAGAAATTCTGAATCAT